TGTGTTTGGGCACTGCCTGGTAAGGAGACAGAGGTGAGAGAGGTGACAAGGGTGACATGGGGACATGGTGTGATGTCACCACCCCCCGTGTCCCCTCCAGAACTGCCAGCACAACACGGAGGGTCCCCAGTGTGAGAAGTGCAAACCCGGCTTCTTCGGCGATGCCACCAAGGGCACGGCCACCTCCTGCCACCCGTGTCCCTGTCCCTACACCGAGCCATCCCGCAGGTGGGTGCTGACCCCAGGGCACACCCCCCTCCCCAAAATGCCACCAGCCCTGGGGTGTCACCCTGGTTGTCACCCACAGGTTTTCGGAGTCGTGCTTCCTGGACACGGATGGCCAGGCCACCTGTGACGCCTGCGCACCCGGTTACACTGGACGACGCTGCGAGAGGTGGGGGGTCCCTCAGTCCCCCCCACCCATGGGAATCCCCCACCCCTGGGACTCCCCCCAACCCACAGGACCCCTCACCATCACCCTCCCATCCCCATAGGTGCGCTCCAGGCTATGAGGGAGACCCTGTCCAGCCGGGTGGCAAGTGCACCCCAGTTGGTGAGTGGGGGGGGCTGGCTGGGGGGTGCCCCTCACCCCTCACCCTTGGGTGCCCCCCACCCTCACCCTCTCTGCCTGCAGGCCAGGAGCTTGTCAAGTGTGACACCCGCGGGGGCAAGGACGCGGCTGGGGGGGCACATGCACCTGCTATGACCCCCCCACAGTACCCAAAGTGTCCCCCTCGTAGCACCAGATGTGACCCCTGCAGCTCCTGGTGTGAACCCTGCAGCTCCTGGTGTGAACCCTCCCCACAGCACCCAAGCCCCCCACCCGTTTACCCCAGATGACCCTCCCCATGCCCTCCCATAACCCCTCCCCATGACCCCCAAACATCCCTTGGGTGACCCTCCCCCCTGTGTTACCTCCCATGATCCCCTCCCAGTGACCCCTAAAAAATCCCCCCATGACCTCCCCAGTCCCTGTCCCTGTCCCCAGCCCAACGTGCGTGGCCGGCTGTGCCATGTCACCCTGTCCCTGTCCCCAGCCAAAGGTGTGTGGTGGCTGTGCCATGTCACCCTGTCCCCATCCCCAGCCCAAGGTGTGTGGTGGCTGTGCCATGTCACCCTGTCCCTGTCCCCAGCCAAAGGTGTGTGGTGGCTGTGCCATGTCACCCTGTCCCTGTCCCCAGCCCAAGGCGTGTGGTGGCTGTGCCATGTCACCCTGTCCCTGTCCCCAGCCCAAGGTGTGTGGTGGCTGTGCCATGTCACCCTGTCCCTGTCCCCAGCCCAAGGTGTGTGGTGGCTGTGCCATGTCACCCTGTCCCCATCCCCAGCCCAAGGTGTGTGGTGGCTGTGCCATGTCACCCTGTCCCTGTCCCCAGCC